TCTGACTGAAACTTTTCCCACAAATAGGACATTCAAAGGGTTTCTCTCCTGTGTGAGTCCTCTGATGGCTCACTAGGCTGGAATTCTGACTGAAACTTTTCCCGCACACAGGGCATTTAAAGGGTTTCTCTCCTGTGTGCATCATTTGATGTTTCACCAGGTTGGGATTCTGACTGAAAGTTTTCCCACAAATAGGACATTCAAAGGGTTTTTCTCCTGTGTGAGTCCTCTGATGGTTCACCAGGACAGAATTCTGACTGAAACTTTTCCCGCACACAGGGCATTTAAAGGGTTTCTCTCCTGTATGAATCCTTTGATGTTTCACTAGGTTGGGATTCTGACTGAAACTTTTCCCACAAATAGGACATTCAAAGGGTTTTTCTCCTGTGTGAGTTCTCTGATGCCTCACCAGGAGAGAATTCTGACTGAAACTTTTCCCGCAAACAGGACATTCAAAGGGTGTCTCAACTGTGTGAGTCCTCTGGTGTCTTAACAGGTTAAAATTCTTACTGAAACTTTTCCCGCAAACAGGACATTCAAAGGGTGTCTCAACTGTGTGAGTCCTTTGATGTTTCACCAGGTTGGAATTCTGACTGAAACTTTTCCCACAAATAGGACATTCAAAGGGTTTTTCTCCTGTGTGAGTCCTCTGATGCCTCACGAGGAGAGAATTCTGACTGAAACTTTTCCCACAAAGAGGACATTCAAAGGGTTTTTCTCCTCTGTGAATCCTCTGGTGTCTTACTAGGGTGGAATTATCACTGAAACCTTTCCCACAAACAGGACATTCAAATGGATTCTCTGTGTGAGTCCTCTGATGTATTACCAGTCTGGAATTCTTACTGAAACGTTTCCCACAAACAGGACATTCAAATGGATTCTCTGTATGAGTCTTCTGATGGCTCACCAGGCTGGAATTATGACTGAAACGTTTCCCACAAACAGGACATTCAAAGGGTTTCTCTCCTGTGTGAGTCCTCTGATGACTCACCAGGTTGGAATTCTGACTGAAACTTTTCCCACAAATAGGACATTCAAAGGGTTTTTCTCCTGTGTGAGTCCTCTGATGACTTGCCAGGTTGGAATTCTGACTGAAACTTTTCCCACAAATAGGGCATTCAAAGGGTTTCTCTCCTGTGTGAGTCCTCTGATGGCTCACCAGGTGAGAATTCTGACCAAAACTTTTCCAACAAACAGGACATTTAAAGGAATTCTCTCCTGTGTGAGTCCTCTGATGGCTCACCAAGTCAGAATTCTTACTGAAAGCTTTCCCACAATAAGGACATGCAAACGGTTTCTGAACTGTGTGAGTCCTCTGGTG